ACCCCATGATGCATAGTTGATGTTTTTAATTAAAGAAATCATGGTTTGTATATCTTGAACTCAGTGTATTTTGTATGTCTGCAGGAGTTGTTTAAGCCATTATTATTTTTCCATCCAGTAGCCACTCCAGCTCGAAATCAAATGCATCAATCATTCAATACTGCTTGTGCATGCAAACAATATTGTGGCAATGGAACCAATGGATGTCAACAACCAGCTAACCCATCAATAACAATTTACTAAGCAACCATTGCTTGCATTAACATTAACAAACAGTATATACTGTATTTACAAAAATAACAAATTTATATGAATATGTTATAAATCATTATCTATAGCTTTCTTATAAGAATAACAACTAAAGCATTCACAGAGGATTCCTGCAAGACACCTATACGATTCCTTTAGGAAATCTATAGGATAATAAAGATAATACTTACAGGATTCCTATATAATTATTATAAGACACCCATACGAATCCTATGGAAACCATATAGGATTCTTATAAAATATCTATAGGGACCCTGTATTATTCATATAAGACTTCTATAAGATTCCTTTAGGAAACCTATAGGACTTCTTTAAGATATCTTTAGAATTACTAAAAGAGTTCTATAGGATTCTTATAAGACGCCTATATGATCCCAGAAGGAAATCTGTAAAATTCCTATAAAATATCTATGAGATTCCTAAAAATATCTACAGGATTCTTATATAATTCATATAAGACTCCTATAAGATTTCTATAAGGTATCTATAACCTTCCTATATCATTCATATAAGACTCCTATAAGATTCCAATAAGATATCAATAAGATTCCTATAGATTTCATATAAGAAACCCATAGGATTCCTATAAGATACCTATATAATTCATATAAGATTCCTATAAGGTTCCTTTAGAAAATCTATAAGATTCATTTAGGCATTCTATAGGATTCCTATAGGATAACTATAAGACTCCTATTTGTTTCATTTAAAAATCTTGCAGTTTTCCTATAAGATTTCACATTATGCGAAGATTGAACCACTGTGTTTAAGTTATATGGTTTTGACCAACTTTGTGTTGTCTAAAGGGGAAAAAGTTCCTTATAAATCTTCAAGCAATTCTTGTTGATAATCTTAAGTTTGTTTTGAAACTCAGATGTAAAAAGGTCTCTTTTTAGCTTTCTCGCCCTAATGTGAATTTCAATGTTGATATCTTTTTAAGCGGCTATTGCCAGTTAGTACATTTAATGGACATAACATGCATTTTTTAAGGACGCCATTCCAGAAGGCCTGGAATGGAAGTCATGATCGTTGAATGGAATACCAGATGTGATGTGAAATTTAGTTCTTTAGGAGTTAAATGGCTACAACAATGTTCAAGATTATTATTTATGTTTACGATACCCGATACGTTTTTCCGACAAAAAATTTGAATATAATTAGCTCTGTATTAAAACGATAGTGACCCTTTCTAGCCCCGCCCATTTCATCCCATCAGCGACAGGATATCAGCCCTAACTTTTGAGCAAATCCTGTCGCCAGCACCGGTTTCCACCTGCCTGGGTATCAAATCCACCTAATTTAAAAAAATAAATATCGTGATTATTTTTTTTGCAGTAATTTCGACAGCTGTCCTTGAGGCTTTTTCCAACCATGCCAACAGAAGTCAGATGGAAGAGGTACGGGATGCTGCCGGCAATGACATGATTAAAATGATGCAAACAGTGTTTCCCATAGCAACTCAGATCAAGCAGCAAGTTATTCAGAAGTATGGAGTTAGGTGATGAAGGTGGATAGATGGTGGTTTTGGTTGCGATAATCTGTTGATTCATTAGACGACGACCATCTATTGTTTTACTTTAAATTTGATTCTAAAATTATATTTTTAATTCTTTATATAATAGGTGCTATAAAATTCACACAAGAAGTAAGACGATTCGAACATCAAGACCCAGAGATTGCAAGTTTAGCCCAACGCTTAAAAGCCATATCCTTACCACCTCTACCAGTGAATCAACCAGCAAGTTAGCTTTAAATACAAGGCATTCTATTATTTATTTGATAATTAAAGTTGAATGCTGTCAATATTTCGTGTCTTTTTTATTTTTCTCTTAGCTCCCTCTGCCTGTACAGCTCTGCATGTCGACCATGACCTGCCGAGTGGACGAGAAGTAAGGCAGGGGCTACAGTAACTGCAGCCTTACAATGACACTAGATATTTATTTTATTTATTCACCAAGAAACATGGTAAGGGACAGCTAAAGAAACAAGTCTATGGCCCAGAGGCCAGTTGTCCCTTTAAATACAGAGTACAAAAACACATAAAATTTAAAATTTAATTTATAGTATTCAACGTCAAGAATAGTTGTAGTTATATAATAATTGACAAAAGGTGGTAAGGTTTAGTTAACAAAAGTAACTAATCAAATGCTTAACACCTTCTAGATAAAATAATATCAAGGAATTTAAATCAAGGATACTACAATCTGTTGAATATGGACGGACGTACAACATGATTAAAAATTATACATAAATATAAAACATAATAAAAATAATATAACCAAAATTTAAATATACATATCAAATAAATATTGTTTTTTACTTCTGCAACAAATCGTTTTCTACAAATAATATTTTTAATAGAAGGACTAAGACCATTCCATAATTTTGCACCAACAAATGAAATTCTATATTTGCATAAATCAATACGGGCTTTGGGCAGGGCAAAATTAACACTTGTGTTTAATCTAGTATTGTATGAATGAGTAATAGGCATGAAGTAATCATAATTTGAATGTGGTGTTCTATATACAATAACATGCCAAAAAATCATTTAAATCGACTGTTGACTGATAAAATCTTTTACTAGAATTATTGCTTTTATGTTGAACCAAATAGCAATTGTGTCGCAATTAGCATAGCGGTAAAAACATTTAAAAACAAAAGTGGTAAGAATGTCCTTACGCCTGTCGTCAAGGGTTATCCAGATTTAATTGTTTGACATAAGACAGTTCGCCTCTCCTAACCCTTAATATACCCCTCGTGACTCTGCGCTGTATTCTCTCTAATAACATTAGAGCACAAATCACAAATTTTGGATTTTTTACCAGCCTTCTGTACGGAGACGATATTTGATTATTTCCAGGCACCTGGAAGTTGGCCACTATCAATTGACTTACAGTAGAGAAGCCAAAGAGAATTAGGAGAAGGAGAAATCAGTTGTATAAGCTCAGGAGAAAAATTATCAGGTCCGGGAGACTTATTAATTTTAATAGAGGAAGAAATATCATTAGAATCAAAGAAAACATTAGTCATTTCAGGAATAGGAATATCACAAGGAGGGGGGAGAAGGAGGAAGAGGGTAAGATAAATTGAACACAGAAATAAAATAACTATTAAATTCATTACTTATGTCGTAAGTGGATGAAAAAACATCATTATTAATATTACTAAAAGTAGTGGGAGAAGCTGATGAACTTTTAGACTTAACAAACGCCCAGATTTTTTTCTTATTATCAAGTGAACTAAACATTTTATTCAAAAATATGGTATATGATTTCTTTATCTCATATTTCACTTTATTTCTAGTAATTTTGTATAAGGACCAATCTAATAAAGTTTTTTGTAGCCCTTGCTTTATGTTTCTTCTGTATGAGTCGTTTGATTTCTTTTGTAACCCAAGGACTGTCAGATTTCCTTGAGCGACGCGTTATAGATGGAATGCTATCCCGAATTGCTGCAATATATCAGTGAAACTTTCCCACGATGCATGAATGTCATTATTGTCAATGAATAATGTACATGGAATAAGATGAAACAAATGGTTTAAATGTGCAAAATCACCTTCGTTCAACCTTAGATACGACTGTATTAATGATTTATTCAGTGGTGGACGTACAGCTTGAAAGCGAAAAGATATAGCAAGATGATCACTGTTCACAGGATTTTCAACATTAAAAACTAGATTTTTCCTGTTGGTAAAGACAAGGTCAATAGTTGTTCCACCTTGTAAGTTATTGGAAAGTCTTGTATTTTGTCAAACAATCTGAACCAATCCTTATAGTTCCATAGTATCGGTAAGCTGATGAGGAGTACTAGGCCAGTCAACGTTGAAGTCTCCGGCTATAAAAACTTCTTCATAATTTGCGTGTGAAAGTTCAAATTTCGAAATTGCACGCGCAAACTTTGTCCAATAAGCAATGTTCTAATTAGGAGGACGATATATAGCTGCCAGAAGCCATTTGCGATTGTTGAGCCTAAGAGTGATCCAAATAATTTCTAATACATCATCACATGCAACGATATTAGGATTGAGGTCAGGTTTGACAGCAAACAGAACCTCTCCTCCGTTTTTATTTGACCGTCGGTCACGTCAAAATATTTCATATTCATTCGCAAATTGAAGGCCATTACTATCATCACCTATCTTCAACCATGTTTCAGCATCAGAATATCTACATTCATGCATTGGGTAGCCAAATCCAAGGAGCATTTAGTAACAAACATGAAATACCTTGGTGTGGTTTTCTAGATGTACCGGGGATATTAGGTTGATCAGGTTCCGGTCCCGGATTTTGCTCCACATCACCATGTTTTAATATTTCGGTTGATTAGCCGACCCTGGTGCAAAAGACGCCTCAATGCATACAGGTGATCGCTAGGAAAATGTACAAACCAAATTATTAACTCACCATAGACAAACATGGTCTACATAATTTCCACATATGTATGGATTGCATTTAGAGTACCCGCTGTTAGTTTCAAATGTTTGTTTGCCCTCCTCCACCCGCCACTAACTCACAAAAAACAAAGGGGGGGGGGTGCGGAAAAACATAAAATCTTTAAAAAGGCTTTTTTTTTAGCTTTTTTCTTTAAAAATAAAAAAAAAATCTGAGTGAATTTATCTATATTTTTTGCTAGATGCCCTAACAAATTTGCCTAAAGTATTTGTCTGATGTAAGATATTTTAATTCTAGGCCTCTGAGGGTTTTTATTCCACCTCGTATGTATCTTATATTTATTTCAATAATAGAAGGACAAACAAACAATTTATTTTTCAGAAGTCCTTAAGAGTTTGTGATAAATACAGCATTATTCTTACCTCTGTCATCTTTGCTGTTGGAATGTAGGCCTAGCTGTTAACACCTCTGACAATGCCACTGTAAGGACAAGTGTAGCTAAATGGCTGGTCAAAATCATTAATGTATCCAGTACACATGTATTTGGAAAAGCTTACAGGAAAGTTCCTGTGTATAAGAATAAAGAATGCTCAAAGGTTAAAACCTGATGCTAAGAATGAAGAGCAAATGTGTACAATGTGTATCTTGCAAAGGGCTTGCATACTGTAGCATTCAAGATAAGATTTATTTATCTCTTTTATAACAGAGGAACATTCTCGCGCAGGAGAGGTTCGACCCGTACAACAGTTACAAAACAACAACTGACAATATATAACAATTAATTATTGAAAAGATAAATGAGTAAAGAAAAAATACTGGACAAGCAAAAGAAATGTTACTCTCATTATTCTGTGGTAATTAAGGACTAACTTAATGTACAAAAAAAGAAATTGAGAAAGAAAAAAAAATAGAAAATTCTATTACAGAATATAAAGTAAATAAATAAATAAAAATGACAAAAAATATAAGTTTATTTGTACAGTAAATAACATAAAAATTAAGTATTGGTGGTAATGTTTTTCATTAGTTCAGTTCTTTCAGTCATTGCTTTTGTTAAATATATTTTACAATCAAATATGTTACATATTTCAATATTCTGGTATGCATGACAAATATTATCTAAAAGTAATTGGTGCCTAAATTTATATGAACCTTCTAAGAAAATGTCCCAAAAGTACCTAATAATTTTACACAAGTCAGTTTTCAAATTTTCAAAACAGGAAATACAGGATAAAATTGATTAGTTAATATAAAAATATAGCGACTGTATATTTATTCTCGAGTC